GTTTTCTAGAATTAATTGGGTCACATTTGCAGAGAATTAGTGATGAGTTGAGTTGAGCCCATAGGTGATTTGGGCCTTAGACCAAATGGACTATGGTGGGGTGGTTGGAGTCCAAGTAGGGTAAGCCTTTTAAGTGGTCAAAATTTAGCCTAATTAGGAGATTGAGGAGAAATTTTTGGAGGATTTATCTAGATTTTATTAGAGATTTATTTGGAGTTAACTGCCAGTTCCCAGACAGGGGGAAAACTGCTCTCAAATGTGGCTTTCTGCAGCAGGTTTTTGCGAAGGCAAAAGCAAGAATCATGGGGGAAATCGTCTAGGAAATGAGACAAACAAAAGAGAGGGAAAAGATCAGTCCTACATGGCCTACCTTACAGACAAATTGCCCAACATGTATGCATCTTCAATTTTCAAACTTTTTTCTTCCATATTTCAGCATGATTTCCATATTAGACTGCAAGACCTGCTTGTTCATAGCTTTAGTTTAGGTTTTTCCATCCTCCTTCATATTTACTTTCAAAGATTGCAACTTTTGTTAATTTTTAAGGACTTGGGAGCATTTCAACCTTATAAGCGAGTCTGCTCTATTGATTTGGTTAGTTTTTTTTTCTTCTATGGATTCATCTTTATTATTTGTTTATGTAAATGAGTTGAATGCTTTCTGCCTTCTTTTCTTCATTATTGCATAGTTGGTAGACTTACAACTTGTTTAACTTCAATTTCTAGATTAAGATTTAATTTCACATGTTTCCAAACATTATCTTTTGGTTTTAGTAATCAAATAGTCTAATTATCTTCTTCTTTTTTTTTTTGTAAGTCTGCAAGTAATTAGTTTAATTTCTAAGAAATCATTATGGTCTATATAGTTGAAATTATTATCTACAATTTTACATAGTTTATTGTCTGCGAATTTATTTTTGTGGCATGATGTTTTCTTTTATTTATTTCATTTTAGGATAATTACTTTAGGATATTACGTTTAATTTAGGATTTATAACTTTTATTACACCGTTGTGGTTTTAAAGTTCTTAGAGGTGTTCAAGACAATTACAACCCATTTTACAAAACTCCACTCTATGTTTTGTAACGTCGTCTGATGCATAGTTTAGTTCACAAACGTTCTTTCTACCCATCCTTTTGAAGCAAAAGTTAGAAACTAAAAAACCCAAAAATTAAAATATAAATGGCTTGACCCTTCTAATGGTCCCTAGTGGAGTCGCCAAACCATTGACATGCAAAAATGGATGGAATTGTCATCTATCCAAGTGCGATGGGATAGATCACCAAAGCCTGCGTAGAAATTGATTAGGATAAGAGGGTCAATTAAGCATGGAGAAGGTATTAGGTACCCATAGCTTCCGTATGAGTATGATTATCACGTACTTCAATTTTGGGCTTATTCAATTATAAAAAATAATAGAAACAGATTTAATGTACGAAAGGAAGAAAGAAAAAAAAAACTTTATTCAACTAAGAACCGAACAGGAGAAATGCATAATTTGATAAATCCTGATTATGCCAACTTTTTTTTTTTTTTTTGAATGGGTCATTATTAAATAACATTAATTGAATACTTGAACTAAACTTGGCTAACAACACCAAAATAGACAATAATGAATATGAACCCTTTTATTTCTCATTCTCTGTTTCCTAAAATAATACTTGTTTTCTAAAATAATACCAAGTTATCAAAATAGCGGCAATCAAATGTTTAAAATTAAATAAATGAACAACTACAATTTTTGAACATACAAAACTAATAATTGCTACCCATGAGCGGGTGAATAATTTGGTAGGAGACTCTTTCAACTTAATTAGAGGTCTTAGTTTCAAATCCTAAGAATGCAATTCCGTTAAAACTCGTGAGGGAAAACTTTGTCGCATGTTCAGATTAATTAGTGACTCAGTGAGTTTCCAGATTCCGGGTCGTCCAAGCAAAAAAAAAAAACTAATAATTCCTTAATTTTTCATGTTAACCAAACTAAAACAAACCTATTAATAAAACGAAATTAATACCCAATTTTTTAAAACAGAAACAAAGCTTGAAATTTTTTAAAGATAAAATATAGACCTAAAAAGAATTCAAACATTGAGTCATGGCCAAGATGGAAATAGAATACGGGCAAGAGAGGATAAAAAATAATAATAATTAAAGCTAATTGTGGTATTCTGTTCAAAGAATAAGAGAAAGAAAAGAGAATAACAATTCAAACAAACCTATTAATAAAAAAACGAGCATTCATATCAAAACCACTTTCACCCAAGTAGCTTTTCAACTGACCCAACCTCACTGAGCAAAATTGTAAGGCAGCATTGACTTTCCCTCCCATGTTAATGCTTCATAGCTCTGACAGAGCAACAGAGCATATTCACACTGTTAGAAACTTGCCTACCTCTTTGCCAGCCTTTGCATTTGGATTTGCTTCCTTTAATGCATTGTTGAAATCATCCCTCAACTTCTGCCAAAAAAAAAAAAAAAGTCGTCTTTAAGCATAAAAAAAGATATTGATCAGATTAAAGAATACAGGTCAACTTATTAATAGAAAGCCATCAAAAATAGGAAGGCATTACGTGAAGAGAAGGCTTTCCTCCAGGCTATTTAGCAGGATTTGGGGTATTTGCGCTTCTTACCAAAGTAGTCAATACCGTACCAGCATGCGTATCGGTTTTGTTACTGGAACGGTACGTACCAGATACCGGAATTTTTCGCGTACCGTTTCGGATTTATCGCTATAAATATAT